AGCATTACCAACACAATGATTTTGAGGCCTTGCAGTTTTGAGTAGTGTACCACTTCGACATTTTGTGCAGTCATTATTTGCATTACATTCAAGGCAATAACTTATCCCACAGGCTTTATTAAGGAGAGATTCAAAGAAAGAGAGAGATTAAGTGTAATTCAATGAACAGGAGTTGCATGACTTACCATAACAGACACCACTACTATCAGGTTCCCAATCATTTAAACATCTCTGTACACAGAATGCTCTATCAGTATCAGTATCACTGGTACCATGTGAGTCTTTTCCTCCTCCTCTTGCTCTCTTATGATGACCTCCACCTTCTCCTACATCATCTATACAAATAAACTGTTAACTTGACTAAACAATGATGCTGCACAAAGCATGCTAAGTGAGCATGCAAAAAAGCACACTTGGATTTTAGAGTAACACAACACAGTATTATGTATATGTATCAGATAAACTATAAACATCAAAAATGCTCTCCTAGCCATTATTGACAAATACTCTGCACTATGATACAGGGTAATACAGGGTCTTTTTGACCAGATTTTTGAGCAACTTTAAAATCTACCAACAAGAAGCTGACATTATGCCAAAAATTTTAAAAGAAACAAATCACAGATCTACCTAGTGATCCAATGACACTCTGTGGTACTGTTGAATTTGGATCAACAAGGAATTTGCAACCTGATTGACATGATCCTGTGCTACCTGATGGACATGATTCTATGGAAAAAGTTAACACAATAAGTTCACACTTGCCAGTTGAATAAACCATCATTGTATCAAATGCATTCATAAGACAATTAAAAATTGTTCACAGCATGCATGTGGACTAACATAATATACTATGCACAAAAGAACTAAGTATTGCTTACCCACACATTGGCAGCTGTTGGTAAGATTATTCAAAGTGTATCCAATCTCACATTCAGTTAATGCACAAACTATTTCAATATAATAATAGTTATTCTAGCATTATTCAGTAATTACCACTACAGTTATCACCACTGAATTCTTGGGTACATTCACACTCATTCCCATTCATAGGATTAGGGATTCCATTATTAGGACAGCTAGTATTAGGAAGACACTGTCCTTTATATCTTGCATAAGTACAGTGCAAACACTCTGAAGCAGATAAACAATGATTACAATACTGTGGACAATCTATCAGAGAAGGAATAAAGGTACATTCTATGATAAAAAATGTTCTAATAGTTATGAATAACTTATTGAATACTATATCTGTTATAGGTTATGCTTGCAGATAACATAATGCTGCTTCTGTTTGCTTTCTTACCTGTTCCTGATACACAAGAATCTTCAGCATCCACACATTCATAACATGAAGAACTCTCTTCGCTGAACCAAAAATCACTGATAGATAATAATAATAATCCACTGTTGCACTGTACAGTGTATCGTCCATTAGTACCAGCCATAGTTTCATAAGATATTGATCCAAAAGAGAGTGTACTCCTGTTATCTGAATACTCTAGACAGTTAATGATTGCTCTAGTGAGGTTGTATCCTTCAGTTGAATTGATAGCAGATACTAGGTAGCTGGTATCAGACACTGTACAACCATTACTGCTACTCTCTCCTTCTCCATGACTAGTCGCAGAAGCGATACACACCAA